ACAGAAAATTTTAAAACATTTCATATAATGTCCTTATTTAGAATCCCTCTTGTAGATTCCTGCCACATCTAGAATTTAATCTAAAACCCTGACTCTGGTATACAGGGTCCTCCAGAATCTGGCTCCCACTCACCTCTACACATCTGTTGTATGACTGGCCAACCCACTATGTTCCTGCCGCTCATTTCCACCTCAGGGCCTTTGCACTGTCTGTGGCCTTGACCTGGAATAATCTTCCCCCAGGCTTTCTGTGGCTGGTTCCTTCTCATTTGATACTCCAAAAAATCTGCTTTTTCAGATAGATGCCTTGGTGACCCAGTACGAATAGCATGCCACTCAGGCTTGAGAGATCCTTCCTATTTTGTTCCCATCTTTGTGCTTAGCACTTTCAGAAAACATTTTCTTTATTTTTAATCTTTACATTAATCATCTGTGTTGTCCACCTAGAATAAAAGTTCCAGAAAACCCAAAACCTTGTCTATCTTACACCATGCTGTGTCCCTAGCACCTTGCCACCTCATTGCCACTAAGTGTTTTAAATGACTAAAGGAAGTGAATGAAGCAGTAAAAATCGAGTACTATTTGGTTAATTAAATGTTGCCCCCTTGATCTTAGTAAGGTATAAATGTGGGAATAAACTAGATAATTTTGATAGAAAAAGCTCAGAATCCTCTTATGCAACCTGTTTAAATGGGATTCCCTGACAAGAGATTTGCCACAGGTTGCACAGAGCAAATTTGTGTGTCTTTAAGTAGGTCTTACGACTCTGAGATGTGCAAAAAAAAAAAGTAGTATTAACATCTTTCTCTGCTCTTTTTTCTTTTTAAATTTCAGGATATTACAGGAGTATCCATGTTTTGGTTATATAGTTTGCTTTTGTGTATTTTAGGTCATAAGTCAAAGTTTTAAGTGTGCCCTTTACTCAAAAGTGTGCAGTGTACACATTAGATGTGAGTTTACCCATCCTTTCCTCCCCACTTACTTGAATTCTGTTGAGTTTTGCTTCCATATGTGCACATAAGTTGATCTTAAGTTAGCTACTTACAACTGTATTTTCCACTTTGGGAAAACCACTTCTTAAATATAGAGACCCTCTACTTCTCCATGGAAACAGCCAAGACCCAATTGTTGGGTCTGTTTTGAGATCCATCAATTCAGCAACAGCTAACTTTCCTCCCACCCTGTGTTCCTAGTGTTCATTTTACCACGGCCTTAGGTCCCTCCCAGAGGACTGTAATATGGTCTCCATCTGTTGGGTTTGTAGCAATTCTCATTAGCTTTTGAGTTACAGGTATCTTTTATCCATTCCCAGGGAATATCCCGGTTCCTTTACAGAAGCCACAAAGCGGTGTTAGTTGTTAATTTAGGAAACTTCTCCCTACACACACACCCAAATGAATCTGAATCTGATCCAGAAACTCAGTGCCTAAACTGTGTTTTCTCAGGTGGCGTGACTGATGCTTCTGTGATGCTGCTGGGATGGGCAGGGACAGGGGCGGAAGTGGGGCTGTGGAGGGGCTAGGTACTAACGTTTCGCTTTCTGCTGTATCTCCAGCAACACTGGATAATTGGGTTGTCATCCAAAGGAAAAGCTTGGGAAGCCTTTTGGTGACTACCTACCTTGACCCCATGAGTAGTTACTGGCGAAAAGCTAATGGCTTCTTGATATCAGCTACCACTGAGATGGTTCTGAATACCCTTCTAAAGATATTCAAGTCTGTGTCAGGATTTCTATTATGATTTTAGAAAGGCATACAGAAACCCTGCGAGAATTTTCCCCTTAGTTTCATGAGCAAAATAGTTCTGAGGAAAATTTTTCATGCCCCAAACATCCAAGCTATTCTGTCCTAAATCCATAACAGGATGGGTTAAGATGAAGAATCTCTCCAAATTATCAGATTTTTGAAAGAGTATTACATCATCAATTACAACTTGTAGAAATATTTAAAGTTTTAATTTATCCCCATTTAGTAATAATGGACTAATAGAAATGTTAAACAAGTGTACTGGCTATTTCCAATTATGGGAAATAAATTCATTTACTATATATTCATTGTGAATGTACACTGTGTTCTAAACACAGAAACAAAGGTCAGGGTCCCTTGGGGAGCAGCCCCAGGATTGGGGGTGAGGGTTAAGGGGCCGTGGGATATAGGCACAGATACAAGTAGGGTAGTCAGACTCACAGAGGTGACAAAGGGGCCACTCTAGGTCCTCCCGTTTCTGGTGTCCCTAAATTTCCTATGTCAGCATCTTACCTCCTAGGCTGAGCGTTACTGGCCTCTCTCCCAGCTTCCCCCACCCCCATCATCCTCTGACTTGTTTTCTTCATCCTATTGAAGACATGTGGGTTGACATCACAATCTCATAGACACTTGGAAGGAAGGATGTGGGTGATCCCCAGGATATGAAAGAGTCTCCATCCAGTAGGGATATTAAATGTGAAAAATGTTTTCTTCCACCTTGGGCCCCTGGGATGGTTAACTTGTAAGACTGTTAAATCCATCTACCTTCTGAGATGCCTCCTTGCCCCATGGAAACACACACACCCTGGTCATCCCAAAGGCTTCAGTGTCATCATCATCCCCAGTCTCAGCCCCACTGCCTGTTCCCTATGCTGATGCAAGTGGGAAACAAGGCCAGGCGCAGCAGCCTGCTGCCCATGCAGATAGCCAACCTGGGAGAGGATCATAGCTTCCCTCATGCCGTGCCCTCCAACCTCTGAGTCCCTCGCTGTCAAGGAGCAGCAGCCCTCCCTGGGAGGCCCCTGTGTGAGGGAGAAGAAAAAGGCTTCCCACTAGGAGCAACGCTGCCTGCTCACAGGGTCAAAGTTGACTGTTACTCCCCCCCATCTTCTCATCCTCTCAGTGGCATGGGCGGGGGACAGTCTGCCTGCCCCTTGTTGGAGGCTCTTTGTGGGGAGCAGTGGACATGGGAACAGGGACGGTGAAGTCCTATCACCCTCCTGAAACAGAAGCAGTTCCCTCCACACACACACTGTAATCGAGCTCTCACTCTCTCACTTAAAGTACAGTTAGATGGAAGAAATAAGCTATAGTATTTCGTGGTACAGAGGGGAAATTGTAGTTAACAATAATTAATTATATATTTCAAAATAGCTTGAAAAGAAGAGCTGTAATGTTCCCAACATGAAGATGAATGTTTGAGGTGATGGATACCCCAATTACTCTGATTCAGTCATTCCACATTATACACAGATGTCAAAATATCACAGTCCCCCCAAATATGTACAACTATAACATGTCAATTAAAAAGTCTTAAAGAAATGCAAATGAAAGTGATAGTTTAGCTGGCTCCTTTAAACAGCACAAACAACCAGGGGCAAACAGCAATTTGTTCTAATTTGTCAAAGGAAATCATTCATGAGCGTCTAATGTTTTAGCCTTTATTAGTAACAGAATTACTTACAAGGCTACTTTAGCAGAGGTGAGGATTTTAGACACAGGGAAGTAGTTGCCAGGCCTCTACAATTAAAATATAAATAAATATGTTCTGTGACACTGTAGGAAAGAAATAGGTACATAATGGGGGGAGGACATAGTGCCACCTGACTATGTTAAAAGTAGCTCTTTTGCCACTTAAAGCTATTAAAAATACCATCATTACTTCCACCATTGCCATTGTTTCATAAAAGAAGGACATTTAGCAAAAAAAAAAAAAAGGAAGAACATATCCTCAGTATAAAATGGTAGTTCTTTGTTATTGCAGGAAGATCAGGTCAGTCTCTAAAAACAGATTTTACCTTTAAAGGGAAATGTAAGAGTTATTTCTACCTTCCTCATTTAACTACAAATCTCTGAAAACCTTGTAGAACCTCCCATGAGGACAGATCTTAGAGATGCTTGTCTAGACCCTTCAGTTCTCTGTCCTCCTGTGAACTGGTTAAAAACTGACACTTATCCCAGAGCATCCCCAGGACCACACAGAAGAGCAGGAGGCAGTGAGACTCCTTCACAGACCAATTCAGTTATATTATAGGGTGACTTCGTGACAGAATGCTGTGCTCACCTGTGCTTGCTCTGATTACATTCATACAAGGCATCAAAGCTCACAGTGAACAGAACATGAGGACTTAGCCTCAGCTTTAATTCATCTCAAAACCTGTTTTAAAGAGAACTAAAAAATGTCAGTCTGAGCACAACTACTTAAAAAGCAGCATACAGCCCATGCAGTCGATTTCCTCATGATCCCCGTTTTGCTTTCAGATCTGGGGCAGAGTGGAGAGGAAGGTGATGCTTTGCACCTTATCCTGACACCAGCATCCAGCCTTTCATTTGTCAATACAATGTTGACAGTTGATTCTCATGATGGAAAGGCCTTCTGATTTATAATCAAACTCCAGCCAAACCGTCCATTCCCAGACCTTTTAAAATGATCCTGTAAATTACAGCAGAGAGCAGGGGAGGGTGAGCTGGCTCCCATTAAACACTAACAACCAGGGGCAAACAGCAAATGTTTCAGAAAGAATCTGTGCTTCCTTCAGTGGCAGTTAGGGGAAATACAAATTAAATACTTTTCATAACCAGCAACTATAATTATCAGGAAAATCTGAGGTGGTGTGATTTGTGACACAGCCGTATGAGCCATTTTCATCCTGCAAAGTCCATGTAGAGAAAGAAAAGAGGTAGTTTTAGCCTTCCAATAACTACAATTTTATATTGGTAAATCAAGCATAAAATTGGTAGTTGAAATGCTTCCAGGAGTCTTTGTTTTGAAATACCTTTATTCATCTATCTATTATCTCAGATTCCAGCTCTGCTAACTACTGTCATTCCAGGGGATAAAGTATTCTGTTTGCCACGTTACTATTACTGTCTTTAGAATGTGCTATTATTGAATGCTTGTTGGGTGCTTTTAGAAATGGCAAGACCATAACTCAGCCTGACAAAAACAGTCCTTGTGGTTATGTGGCATTATTTAGTTGAGACTCTTGTTTGCCTCTAAATAACTTTCCATGTTTGTCTGTCTTTTCAATTCAGGCATCATATCAACATTTCTTCATGTCCATCCTTTCGGAGCCAACATAGAATATCTTTGGTCATACATGCAGCAGCTGGACTCCAAGGTAAATTATTTTTCTCCAGTAAACTTTCATTGCTGAAATGCAGCGTGTGATCGCTGGCTGCAGGTGGACGCTGCGGGAGCTGCACTGGGATGTAAGAGAGGATAGAGGCTTATCAGCACTCCTCCTCTGCAAGGACCTCCGTTTTTGGCAGGTAGTCCTCGTCTTTTCACTTGCTTTTGTCTTTGTAGAAAGAAAAGCCGTTATCTCAAATAACAATGACTTTCAGCAGATGCCAAATTAATTAGAAAAGCTTATGAGAGATTTCAAATTATAAGTCAGCCTGAAAGTTTCCCAAACAAGGGAGAAAGCAGGTGAGTGTGGCTAACAGAGCCCTATCCTTACACCATATTCTTACAGGAGTCCATGTTCTGGACTTCACACAATAGAGGAAAAATCACCTGTAATAATATAAAGATCTCATACGACTCCCGAAAAGAAATCTGGATTAATAGCTGTTTTTCAACATTATTCTCTAACTGGAAAAAGCAACTATAAAGATATTTCAGGCGTGCCCTTCAAGGGTCATGCCCAACGTCAGACATCACACATTTCTCTGAAGCTCAGTTTTTCTCATCTGAAAATTAGCTACACTCTTAGCTCTTTGCAGTATTCATGTGTCAAAAGAGAGGGGACAAAAAGACTCTATTTATATATCAAATTTGAGTGAACAATGAGAGGGGTCCTGTGGAAATAAAATGATGTCACTAACCAGTACTGCCTGGGGGAGCTCTGGAAGGGGGTGGATAAGAAGCCCCAGAGCAGCCTGCTAAATTTCCCACTAGGAAAGAAAAGGGAACTAGAAGCTCCTCCATAGGGTGCACCGAAGTGCATAGACTTTGTATGACTGGACCTATAACCCGTAGTTTTGTGACCCTGAATAGACACTTAACAAGTCATTCGGAGTTTTCAATGGCTAGCGTGGATTAAATGACTACATTGTGCACTAATTTTGATTCAAATGGTCTTACAAGTACAGGATGCCAGAACTGCTTGACCTCTTAAATGGAGCTAATACTTCCTCCCCTTTGAGAGAAATCATCTGGAACAAAAGTATTTTTTAGTCATATAATTCATCCCTCTTTACAATAGGGTAGACCAAAGTCGGGTAAAAGAAGTTAGGAGACAGATCAATTCTTCAAGTTCAGAACTGTGTGTGTTTTTCTCCCTGTGGCTTCCCCTCACATGCATAGGGAGGGAATAGAAAATGGGGGGGTTAAACTCAGATGAAATGAGAAGGACGCTGCTGTGCAATGTTACTTTGTCATAATAAGCTCCGCGGGATTTCTGCGGTTGTTTTTCCTCCCCTTCCCCAGTATCCTCTTCCCTTAGCCTCACAGCTACCTTTGCCTGGAGGATTAAATGTAACACTGCTAGCACCAATGTGTTTGGCACAGAATAAGCCCTCCAGAAATGATTCCTATGTTGCTATTATCCTTCCCTTGTATTGTTGACATTTTTTTCTTCCCCTTTCTGGAAGTCCCAAGTGAGAAGCGTTTGCTGAGAAGCAGTTGTTGTTTTAGTATGAGCTGAAATGGCCACAGAATCCACTTGTTATTTATCTGTGAATTCCAGGACTCCTGTTTCCTCTGCTCCATCTGTCAATGATCTTATGATGATCTTAAGTGCATGTGTATGTGTCTAAATAAAATCATCTTCTGGGAGTGGCAGGAGGGGTTGATAACTAATGAATTGATGTATTTTGGTGTGGTGGAAATTCTTGTTCCATTTTACTCTCTGGACACAGCTCAGGTGTGATCTGTGTCTTTCCCTTATTAGCCTCAGGGGAGAGAGAACTCCCTTGCCCTTCCAGCCATTAAGACAATAGGCTTCTCTGGAAGGGATTCAGTCTAGGGAATTCCATCTCATTACAGGCTGAACTTTATTTTAAAAAGTGATGAAGAAAGCATTTCCTTCACAAGGAAATACACACACACACACACACACACACCCCTTACCTGCTTCCTGAATCAAATGCCCTGGAAAGTTGTCAAGTTTCCTCCTCACACCTGGGGTAGAAAACATATCAAAGAAGTGCTCTAGAATTGCTGGGGGCCAGAGGTTGGACCACATGTTCTTTCTATCCCAGTGACACTGAGAGGGTATTTAGACTTTTTAATCCACAGAGAAAATTATTACCCTACACTGGAATTGCATATCCTGAAAGCCTTAAACAGAAAACAAAATAATGAGAGGTTTGCCTTCTAGGGATCCACCGGGGCCTTGTGCCTCATCAGCTGCCAAAGGTCTCATAATCCTGGAGCCATAGGCAGCCTACTGACGCTGCAGTTCTCGGCTAGAGTGGCCTCATCCACCTGCCTCTGGGTAATCAGGATGAACAGCCCCTCTCGCCAGCACATGGAGTTTTGGTTAACATTGCATTAAGGCAGTGGGTTTTGTCCGCTGCTACAACACAGGGCATTTGCCAACTCCAGTACAACAGCTTTTTAAAAATTCCACACACACCACCATCATTTCCTTGAGATTTGACAGCATCACCATTACCACAATTGTTATAAGACCCCATTTAGAGTCTGCCCACCTTGGTGCTGATGAGAACAAGGAAAGCAGGCTGAACACAACCCTGTAATGGAGCTGTTACTATTAGGATTTCCCCAAAGGCCATATGTGGGTATATGAATGGTTAAGGATGGAAGAAAAGGCAGGAATTCATTTAAATTATGCTGAGCATGTAAATTGCACGTGGCTCCCTAAAACCATGTAGCCCAATAATAGGCCATTTTCTAGTCAAGTGTTATCCTTGCTCTTGATAATAATATTTGCATATTTGTCTCTTCTTGGCCTTTTGTGAACTACATGCTCTCATTCACTCAGTTCTCCTGTGTTAGAACATATGACAGAAAGATTTTCTGACATAAATCAGAAAGATTCATTTAGAGAAAGACAGGGCAAGGGCCAGGGGCCTTGGCTTCCTGAACCTTTGCTGGCTTGAAAACCATTCCCTAACCACAGGCAGGTGAGGTCTTCAAAGTAGGCCACATGGCCTCGAAAATGGTGTCTCATCAATTAGTTTGTTCTATGGAATCATGGGATCTCCTATGCCAGCCCCCAAGCCCACACACCCCACCTCCTGTGTTGGCAGGTCCAAGAGCACAGAAGATGCCTTTGAGATGAACACTTCCTGTCTTACAGCCGAGAGGAGGGCTCCTGCACTCTTCCCCCCGCTGACTTGTTCTTTAGCAGATTAAGGCTCAGTTCTTCAAGCCTGTCCGGTTGCCCCCTCTCCATACCTGCACCCTCCTCCCAAGGCCCACGGAGTGGGAGATTTGTTTCTGAGAAGCAAGACTTGGTATCATGTGGCCACAGAGGCTGGAGGATACAGAAAGATCTCTTTTGGCACAAAACTACTGTAAAGTAACCAGCGTGGGAGTTCATGGGTGTGTGTGCATTTCCCACCAGAGGGGAAAATCATTTACATTTCTGTACTAAATGCTTACTTCTAGAAACAAAATCTTGCCGGTTCAAAGGAGATTCAAATCCTATTTTAATTGGACAGCAATCTGTCCCAAACTATAGCTGGAGGGCAAGAGTTGGTGAAATACTCTGAGTAGTATTTGTGTACTGAATAGTCTTTGGTGTTTTATGTGTTCAGCTGTTGTCCTTAAGAGGCACCTGTCACGGCATGTTAAAGAGTGATTACTTAGCCCATAATGACCAGTATGTGTTTGTTGGATACTGCAGCACTTCTGGAAAGCATATGATCGTGAAGGTAACAGTACCCTCCACCTGACTACAGAAGGAACAAAAAGGAAGTTGCTCAACTAGAGCAAAAGAAATTGATAAGTTTCCAGGATTAAAAACCTGAATTCCCATGAATGCCGGGCTAATCCACTATTCTGCATGCACCCAGCACTGTCCTCAGGACCAGAGAAGGACAGAGGACAGCCCAGGTGCAAAAGAAAGCTAAGATAGAACTCTGCTTCCAAAAGCTTATAGTCTACTTGAAAAAATGGCATGATATTTATGAAATAAATTGAGAATCAGACACAAACTAACAAAGCACTTGACTGAGCAGGGCAGATATTTAGGAAATAAGAGTTAGAGAAGAGTGGGGGTGATACAGCCACGATCCTTGAGACCATTCTAGCCACCTTCCTTCCACGCTTGCTTCCTTCCTCCCTTAACTCATTTTCCTTTCATATTTTTCTCCTTTTAATTCTTTCCTTCTGTTTTTCTTCCTTCTTTTTCTTTTCCTCCTTCTACCTTCCCGTCCTCTCCCAGTTTCTTCCTTCTCTCTTTCTAGCTCCTCGCCTCTGTTTGTTGTCTTTCCTCCTCATGTCCGTTTTCCTCCCTTCCCCCCTTCCTTTCCCCTCCTCTCCCTTCTTGCCCCATCTACGTTCTGTATTTCTTCCTATGAATGTTTGTTGCAAGGTGTCGGTGTGTGCTGACACCATGCTCTGCCCAGGGATGCGAAGAGTGAGTAAGGCTTAGAAGTGCACTGACAGGTAAGTCAGTTGATCCCATGGCAGGGCGTCTGGTTTGCAGCCGGCTGCCCTGCCCCTCAGCCTGGATGCAGCCTCTGCGGGTGTCTTTTCAGTGCCCAAAACAGGAGCCCCTCTTCACTGGGCTTCCCCAGCCTGAGGATGTGGGATGTGGAGCCGGCCGTCATGACGATAAAGTTGATTTATGTCTGCTTGTGTCAATTTGTACATGTGCTTAGAGGCCTGGGAAGGAGGCAGCACTCGAGTCAGCAAATCAGGAAATAAATCAAGCAGTATTACCCCTGTGGAATTAACACTACACAAGCCCCTTGGTCATCAGAGCCTCCTTTCTTTCTCTTCTTTTTCTTTTTAAAAAATAATTGTAGCAAATAAATCTTTTCTAAAAGAATAAGTATTAGACTTGGAAAACCTTAAAACAAAATAGCAGTGGCAGAATCCTCTGACAATATCAAAGATTAAAAATATACAGGCTATCAATTTCTTACAACAAAAGCCAGCTGTGTAAGAGGGTAATAAAAACAAGAAAGGGGATCTTCCCTGAGATGAGGAAATGGGTAAATGTACCTGGCTAGGCCGGTGAGGTCTAGGGGCTTGGTTTTATGTGATGACTCCCTGACTTTTTCAGTTCTCAAGACAAAGAGAGCAGTGAAAAGGTGAAAGAGATTGTGAAGACAAAATTATAAAAGCTGACAAGTTATAAAAAAGGGAAAAAAACAGAGTTAAAGTAAATGAAGATATTGGCAAAGTAGAAATTCTTTAGCCATGGGGTAAAAAAGAATGAAAAATTGATTTTTCTCTTGAATTTCTCTTGAAAATCCCCAAAGGTAAAATATCATAAAGGTTACTTGGCAGGGAAGGGGGGAAAGTTTAAAACTCATCAAACTAACCTGAAAAAAATTTCTTCTTGATCTTCCTTCTGTTATAATATAGAAATATCTTAAGGGAAATGTTCTACAATTTAGCTGAGAACCTTATTTTTTTTTTTTTTTTTTTTTTTT